ACTTTTACAAGGGAAAAGAACTCCGGTTATAATCTCGGCACTCAATCGTACTATGCAGGGCACAAAATGCTGTTACAGTAGCCGATACGCGATCAACTTTGCTACTATAACTGAAGATCACTAGCTAACCCCGTTTGCCCCTAAGCTGGCAGTGCTCTGGGAGGTAAGCCCTAGCCGAACCAATCAATCGCATCCTTTTAATCACGTGACCCACTCTCTGTGCGTGGGCATGGGCGCGAGTGTGATTATGTGGTCAAAGATGAACATTTGACCGGTCCAACGAGCACCTAGCTTCCACTGCACTACCTGCTTAGAAGTGAACAATATACAGCGGGCGGCTGCAGGCCACAACAAACGAAACTCAAAACAGAGATATAGCTCTCTAGTCGCGAGCAGAAAGCAACTACATAGCCTTTTTCCCTTCGGCGGAAATTGCCAGTTTTGTCTGCATTTATTTTTGTGTTTCGTTTTCGTTTTGCAGCCCTGCGTGCGGTACACTTCAGTGCCGCGCAAAGTTTGCAGTTGTGCTGCCTGTTTTCCTGCCGGCACATGTGCGCGGTTGATGTGACATGTGCGCGTACCGGCCCTGCAGTGAGACGGTCGAGTGCGAGAAGGAAACCATGTTGTGATGAACGTGCCGAGGGAACCGTCGTCGGCAGGCCTCGTCTCTTAATTTCGAGATAGTTTACGACTCGTTTCCAGGTTCGCTCGTGTTGTCTTCTCTCTGAATACATCCTGAAAGGCGAAGGGTGAGTCGCACAACGTCGCTTCTGCTTGAAGTTGACCTTCTCGGCAATACGTGCCCTCCCCCCCCCCCCCCCCCCCCTTTTCCCCCGCCTGTCTGCTTGGCACATTGCTACGTTCCGGTGTAGTGCACGTGAGATCATCCAGAAATCGAAGTTGACGCTGCTGCACTAGTATTTTAGGATTTCAAAACGCAGACAAGGTATCGAGAAAGCGAAACGGAGTATGTGATTACCTTTCTTGCCTTTTTTTGCATTCCTAGTGACGGGAGAGAATGAATCGTACCGTTTTCAGGACACACGACGCGTTTGAGTCGGCACGTGTCGCCTGCGAGATCTTCTGATGTTTTCCGGAAAGGTCTATTATACATCGTCGGTAAAGATCGTCTACGACTGACAACGTTTTGATGACCTGCATTGAGACCGCAAATGATTCGGGATTCAAATTAGGCGTGATAACAAATTCAAGAAGTAGCTTGGTATGCGTCATACGATACACAGATGTTCTGGGGACTCGCTCTAATCGGTGACGCAAGAACCCAGTGGATATTCTGTCACGACCGCGAGCTTCCTGCCTTTGATGACACTTTGTTGCTAGTGCAGTCAAAACCCGGCGTGAGCCGAAGTGCGGGAGCTGAGATTTTTAACGTGTTACTGACAATAGCCAATCCTAGTCAAACGCTGATGTGCTGTGACTTTAAGTTGAAACATCGTGCGATCAACTTTCCGGCGCCTCCCACGCTACTGTCGAACTTTTTGTCGGGCACCCGTGTGGCCCTTATGGCGCGATAAGGGTTCGACCTGTAGAACATCTTGCGTGCTAAGAGGTCGAGCGGGCATAAGTTGTCTTGGCATGCTCTCATAACAAGTTAGACCTAGGGTGCCTTCATGTGCGCTTTGCTTAGGGTGGAGACATCTCGCCATTTTGTTCCCACTTTTACATTTATTTTTTGTTCAGAAGCGCGTGAAAGAGCGTGTCCCTACACGCGTCTCTGGCGCTGACTGTGCTATGGCGACATTTTGTTTTCGTCGATTTCTTTGTATTTTCCCCGTGAGCGCGTGCTGTCGGCATCGGGTACTACAAAGGGTGGCATCACTCTAAACAGAAGGTCATTGAGGCACCCTAGTTAGACCGACTTTCACATAGCGGCCATAGCCATGTGCGCGACTGCTGAGCCCGTGCTGACGGCGAGCTTGCACAGTTCTTTTGCAATGCGCATTCCACACCATTAAGAGTGTTGGTTCTAGCGGCCTATTAATGTGACTCTCGTTCTGAGCATGCGCTCTAAACTGCGCCCTCATATAGGCGTCCAACATTGTGTGTACTGGTGTGTACATTGTAATCTAGCCAAGTTCCAACGTATCGACGTGCTTTCGAGAGATGCAGGAGCAACTAAAGCTGCAAGAGAGCTCCGCGCTCTGAATGTACTTGGAGAGCACTCTGGTTCGCGCTTCTTGAGGCTTGTTTACACCTGTGGCCGTTTCGTCTATAATGTGCCTCAATGTCCTCAACGTCCACAGCCACTAAAACCACAGCAATGACAAACACATAGCAAAACAACTGCGGCCCAGGACTGCTTGGCGTGTCTATTACTTGAAGTGCTTGTCACGTTGTATATACGGCAAAGAGTTTTCCAGGTGACCCTTGGTACCGTTTTGGTCGTTCGGAACGCAGCCAACGCAACTCTCTAAAAAAAGCTTAATGTCCGTGTCGTTCGTATGAGGCGTGTTGCCTGGCAGCACGCTGCAATTTGATGGTCGCATTAAAAGGCTCAGATATCCATATGAGCGCGCATTGTACTCGCTTGCATTGGTACTAGCGTCAGGCGGCAAGCCAAGTAACATTCTTTCAATGGGCGTACCCGCTCGCGATCCAGATGCTGAACGTTGCGCTAATTTACCGATTCATGGGGAGCAGCTTGTCCGGTAGTTAATTTTGTCTGTAAAAACGAAAGTTGGTAGAGTGGACGAAGTCTGGTGGCACCAGTTGTTTGTGCATTTCGTGGCAAATGATAGCGCAAAATATAAGCCACGCAAGAACGTTTTTTTTTTTTTTTTTTCAATCTTGAAATTGCGGCAATGACACATGAAACGACGCTGAGCAGGTGTCCGGCATCCTGTTCAGTGCACGATGCGGCCGACGTTCCAGCTGTGAACCCATTGACACCGAGTGGACGCTCAAAGCTTTCCTAACGCGCACACACGCGTGGTGCCTCAAATGCGGTGGCCCAATATTAGAGTTTTAGTAGGTCGTTCCGATACCGACACCCGATTCTCCAGCGCCGCCTTTGCGGATGCATTGTATCGTTATCAGGTGTCTTTAACAGAGGTATCCCAACGACCTGCTAAAACTCTCTACTCTTCAACGGCAAGAGAACAAAGGGACTTCTGGCCGGTGCCTTTTTCGGCGTCTGTGTGTTTGGCGCGTGATTTGCTCGCTTTGCGAAGCGACAAACATGCGCACTTGCTGGATTATAAGAATCGCACGCTGGGCTGTAGAGGGGAAAACATTGAAATTGTGTAAAGTCGCTGGCAGATGGAAGACGGCAGTGAGCGTCTTTTGAAGGCCCGGCCTCCCTCCATGCAGCACGCGCTCCCTTCCAGTAGCAGTCGATGAACGCGTAGTTCTTAATTGCTACTCATATTATATACGATTTTCTAGGTTCCTCAGAAGAGAGTTCTCCGTGGTTTGTGGGCGAAGATCAAAGGAACAGCATTTTGCGCTAGCTTGCGTTTGCCGTCGTTCCGCGTCTAGTAAACTGATCTCCGTCGAAATGAACATCGCAGTTCGTGTTCATTCAGTTCTTCAAACTTTTACATTAATTATGGCAATAATATAGCCTACCTTGCACAGCCTATAGTACATGAGGTGGGAATGAAGCCCGTTCAACGGATCCACAACAGCCACAGAAGTTGTCGTTTGCGGTGTTCCTTGCCCCCCGTGATACAAAAAAGCTCTTATCCAGCCTCATGCCGGTTATTACACTCAAAAGCGTAGCACCCTAAAATCTGGGTCCCTTTGAAACTTCCGAAGTGTCGCAAAAACGACTGCCGATACCACACCGACGCTCCCGCAGCGCCGCCAAGACTGGACCCTTTTGCGAAAGCGTGGAAAACTTTTGCCCACGAGATCGCCGTGCGCCAATAGAGAGCGCGGACTGTCGGCGAACTTGAAGATGAATCACTGGTGCTCCTCTGCTCGCTAGGGAGCATATACAGTAATGCTACAATGCAATAGGTTCTTCGTCAAAATACGGATGCTACCGACGACGTGCCCTAGTATTGTAGAAAATCAACAACAAAAACATTACAATTTCAGCCTCGGTCACAAAAGGCTCTCACGAAATGGTGAGAGGGATGTAGGCAACCTTGTACTTTTAGAAAATTAGATGAAAAACAGCACACAATCAAATAAACATTCTTATTTCTAAAAGATGTGAGGTGCTCTAACATATTCTGAGCAGCATGCCAGTCACTGTCGTTTCGTTTTCAGTCGATTTACGTGTTGAACGTCATTTCAGCAGAAGACCTGCTCCTGTTGTGACATTATGCGAGCTCTTGGACGGCGGGCAATCGTTTCGCGTCCTTCTCTCCGTGCCTTCAAAAGCAAAGAGAGTGAAGGGACAACAAGAACAAGCGCGCACAGATCCGCTATACAAAGTCGCCTTCCCTTCTTTTTCTTTTTTTTTTTCAGATGTAAACTTTTTGAATTTGGGAATTTTTCTCATTTGATTGCACTAATATTCCAGTTATTTATGTCAGCGTGATTCCCCCAACCTTGTGGGCGAGCATGCCGCTGTTTGCACACAACCAAGCCACAAACAATGCAAAAAATTAATCGAGGTATCATGCGATGTGAAAAAAAAAAGATAAAGCTGTGAGAGTCTAAAGACTGCCGTGCCTTGTGTGTGCAGGTGACAATGTTTTTTTTTTTTTTTTTTTTTCGGTAGAGCTTATCTTCTAAAAATATATATATATTTTAGGAACGATTTTTACTTGGTGTTCAAAACGCCCACTTTTTCCTCAGCGAATAAAAAACAAAAATGTAACTAATTACAATCATTTTCAAACCTAAATAAGTAAAAAAAAATTACTTTAAAACGCTGCACTGAAAAACATTGACCTCTGGATAAAGCTAAGTGCTCGTGCCGGTAGCCATGTCAACGTCGCACACGGTCTAACCTCTTTGAACTCTCTCCTACAGCGCCATCTCTCGGGCAGATGTCGTTCCACGGAGCAACGACGGCGGCGGCCAACATGATTCGCCGACTCAGCAAGTCGGACAAGTACGACGTCCAGGGGGTCCAGGCCCCGTCCCCCGAGGACTACGGCACCATGCGGAGGCCCATCTTTACTCAGCCGCACTTCGACAGCGAGTTCGACGGCATCGCCAAGGAGAAGCTCACGATGGGCGAGAGGATCGGCAGCACGGTGCGCAAGCGATGGCATCCCAAGCGGGTCCAACGATGTCTCTTGGGCCTCCTGCCCGTGGTCGGCTGGCTGCGCAACTACGACGTCAAGAGGGACCTGCTCGCTGACGTCATCGCCGGGGTCACCGTCGCCATCTTCCATGTGCCTCAGAGTGAGTGCGGACGGTTTTGTTGCCCGCTCAGGAGTCAACACTATCTAGAATATACATATAGTCGAGTTTGTGCACGGGGATTTTGACGTCATCGCAGTGAGATCGAGTGAAGACTCGGCTGGGTCTCGGGTCCAATCGGCGGGTCGAAAGACGTTCGGCATTCGGGCTCGAGTTCAATTTCCGAGTGTGTGCCATTCGATTATGATGACGTTCTAGGGAGGAAGAGGACGCTCGGCCGTTCATGATTATTCTAGGGTGGTCTTGTCCAAGTCTGGCCACTTGTTCCCATGAGTAATTGGAAAAGAGTGAAGAATAAAAAAAAACTAATTGCATCACCGTCGTCCTACAATAGCGAAGTTAAAAATTAAGAATCTTACAAATGCATTCGCATTAAAAGAGAAAGACATAAGCTGTTACTCGATCTTGTTACGTGTTTATAGTATGTTCAGAGGTAAGTAAATAATCCCTTGGCTTAGACATTCTGTGAAGTGTAATGAAAGCGGGATATCACTATAGGAATTTACTACCAGACATGTACAAGTAACTCAAAGTAATTGTGTTAAGTTACCGAGCATTGGCCTGAAAGTAATTTGAGTAGGGTAGAAATTATTCAAATGGGGAAGTAATTGAGTAATTTACTAACTACCATAAAAAGTAACGGTATTAATTTTGAAAATGATCATGGTGCAGATTATCCGAGACTGTGGTAAAAGCCGGGAACCTTGGTCGAAGAAAAAGACGGGGGAAAGAACGTCTCAAACTCAGCTACTGCGTTTATTTCCTCAATGCCTTATATATCCACAACCTAATCACCGACCGCCGACGTCACAAAGTCAACCTTTGTTATACAACCCTACCTACACTGACCTTCACCTGAACCGTAAACGGCGATCTCAATCACAATCTGAAAACTTGGGACCTTGAACAAAACAATCCCACCGACCCACTTCCTTTCCAGCCGGAGTCTGCAAGGGCAGTGCTTTATCTAAACGAGAGCTGATATGTCATCCAACTGAACCCGTGCCCGCAAAATGACTCATTGCACGTTCACCCACAACTGTAAAAATATATACATATAAAGCGGCTTGTGTTTTCGCAGAAATGCTTTAATAGCTGGATATGCTTCTGCGTGCCTAATTGTTTTGTAGTTCTTGTCATTTGGTCAATGATGTACAGCGGATGCATCTTTACTACTTTGAGGTTAGCACTGCCTGAGCTTGATTTTACAGACAGTGTTTGCTTGTTTACAGTGTTTCGTAATGTACATCTAAAAAATGATTGAAGTAAAGTACAAAGTAAATTAGAGGTTAGGTACTTCAAGTAAAGTAGTAAGTACACCGGGTGCCATGTACTTGAAGTAAATTACTATTAATACAATGCACTTTCAACGTAAAGTATAATTACTTTAAACACAATCTATCATGATGCCCTTTTGTCCTCTTTATAGTTCTTTTTTTTTCTTATTTTTACTGGTATGCATGTCGTTAGTGGTAATTGGAGGTTCACCCGTTTTCTCGGAAATGGCGGCAACTATTGGATAAAGTCAATTCGCCACAGTATAGTGATTTTACTCTCGCTGACAAATTGTTTAACACAATCAACTCATAAGGCACTTATTCTTATCGGTCTTATAACTGCCATTACTTTATTTAAGGAAATGACCAGCTGTCTCGAAGGACGATAGCGCTTTTTCACGGGACGAGGCATCATTTTTTTTTTTTTTTTCAAATTTGTCGAATGTACTTTAATGTCGGGACTCGGGAGGTGTACTTTCCTCAGAAAGTACCAGAACAGATAATGGAGAAGTGCGTGCTCAGAGAATGTACTTCAAGTAAAGTAGAAGTTACTACTTGTAGTAGTTTAAGTACCATGTACTTAAAGTACTTCCCAACACAGCGTGTTTGATTTTTTAATGTAAAAACGGTTGCGGGAATTCATAAGGTTTTTCGAACAATCTTCTAAACTTGGGAGACATGCCAGTTCTGAGTTTTGGGAGGAAAGGCAACAAAAAGAGCTCACATTTGTGTTGCCCTTTAGCACGCGACTCTTCAAGTAAAGCACAAACTATGGGAGCACCAGATGAGTCTCAGAGCGGGTGCTGCATTTTGTTGCCTCTTTTGAGTGAGGATGCACTGTGTATACCTCCTGTAGTGGGCGAGCATTTCTACATTGGAGAGAAGCGGGGGCAAGTTCTTTCTTCAAGCGCATCATCTTCTTGAGCTTCCCGACAAAAAGAAACGCCAGTCTTCGACGCTAGTCCCGCCGTTAGTACTCGGCCTCACTTTCGGCGTGGCTGTCTGCTCCCTGTGCCTCGTTGCGTGGTTGTGGCAGTGGGAGGCTCGTGAAACTTTTAGGGGGATTCGGACCCTCCAAGCCACTTCCCTCCCCCCCCCCCCCCCCAATTTCCCCTTGTCTACGACACATCCTCTTTGGAAATATAAGGTGATCTTCCAGCATCTTTTCCCTTTTTGTAGAGGGATGTTTGTTGATAAGTAAATTAACCACTGAAATTTCAAAGTAATTTGTAATTTGAGTAGAAGTTACTCGGCTAAGTAATTAAAGTAAACTGCTACCTACAGAAATAAACATGCAATTAAAAGTTACTAAACTACTGAGAAACGTAGTTAAACCTGAGTGACTTGAGTAGGGTAGTTGAACTACGTACAAGTCTAGTTACTACCCTACAACCCAGCCTCCGTTCTACGCAGCGGAAAAGGGGGGAGGGTTCCCACACCGCTTAGCCCTTTTCCCGGCGCCCTTTCGCACGTAGCACCGCCATTGGTCGCGCGCACTATGAGGTCGAACAAACAGCTGCGCTTTCTCGCTGTTCTTCTCTCCTATGACCTTGCTACGATTTGACAAACACCAAGAGGGACAAGCAAGCTCTGGGCAGGGCATAAAGCTATCGTTTTTATAAAAAAAAAATTGTTAAAATTTATAAAACAATTTTCGCTTGTAAGCCACTTTTCTTTCTTTTTTTTTTTTTTTTTTTTTTTACCAGTGGTGGTAGTTTTTCCATGATCAATCTATGATCCTGCTGCCTCGAAACTCAAAAGTTGGCGTAGAAGCTTTTCTGACATTCACATAAAAACATAAGCATGAACAAATGTGGCCTGTTGAACATTTTCATAGGTATAAATGTTATCCTCAAGTTACAATGTTGTATGCTTTTCGCGTTGTTCCAACTACGGTAATTTGTAATCTTCAACGTGTTCTCATGATCTCCTTGATTGCGCATGTTTTCGGACGAGCCTTAATTTCGAAAGCTTTCCTTAGAAAATAGACAAAGAATTTACAATGTTCTAAAGGAAATGAGAATGACTCCTCATACGTTAAGCATGGATACTGGTCCACGCATCTCGTTAACAAACAAGCACAACAATATAGCTGCCTTATATGCTTGAGCATATTGCACGGACGATTCTGTAAATAAGCAAAACGAATGAAGGTCTTTATTCTTTATCTTTCACTCAAAAAGTACTCCGCAGTAACGGAGGGCGTTACAGCGTGGTGAGTCACAAGATAAAAAAAAAAAACATACGTCTTTTAATTAAAAATTTTAAAGACCATTTCACTGTGCAAAAAAAAAGTTATTGGCGTGCATGTTTGTCCTCGCGCGGTACTCTGTTTAAAGGCTTGGTCGTTCCGCCAAGAAACAGAAGGTTCTTAAAGTATATATCTTTGTTTATTTCAGTTTTATTTTTGAATACGAATAGAAACATTAATCACTATTTTCTCAAACTAGCGGGGAGTTCCAAGTTGAGGTTATTTTTTATGCCAGTGCTGTGGTCCTCATGCATTCCAAGAACAAACATGGCAGCCCTATTTTGAGTTTTATTGCTAGTTCGTCATTTTGGGTTATTTGGTCCGGGCCTCAGACGACATATGCATATTCTAAAAAAAAAAAAAAAAACGAGTGAATCATGTTAAATGAGCTCTTTTAAGTTCTCACATAAAGAGAAGTTCGCAACCACGAAAGAAACGCATGGACATATTCAGTGCTCTTAATAGTCATTTCTTATAACATCCCCGAAAATTACCAGGTTTTCTTTCGCGAAAAAAAAAGACAAACAAAGTTACTGCTCTTCGACAAACTCCACTCCGAGGTGGAGACGCTACACGATTTTGAACTTTGTCCAAAGGGCCGTAGACATGACTTTTCTTTTTTTAGATCAGGATTAAGATGCAAGTATTTGAACAAGGAGACTTTTCGTCATCTATACAAGGATATGTTTGTCTCTAAACTGGCATGCACTTATAGTACGAACATATATCAGTTTCTCGACTGCGGGGCTTCGTGATAGATTACGTTTGGATGTCAACATGTCAGAATTGGGCTATCTGAACAAATATTTACTGTCGATACTGGGCATTTCTGCTCGCAGGTTGCTTGTGCTGAATCATGCAGCTAAGAGTTAAAAGTTACTGAAAGCGTGGAGTACACTTTTGAATGAATTGTGTTTTCCGAGTGGATATTAAATTCTAATTATTTTTCGACTGTGCAGTTATTTTATGCTACATTTAAACCTAACCTTTGACTGCATCACTGCAGATAAGCGAAAAAGGGGCAAATTTAATGTGAAGGGTGATTGGCCTGACGACACATGTTAGCTTGGGGCTCCTATCTTTAAAACACAACACGCGTTGATACTCCTTTCTTATAAAATTTCATTCAAAACAACCATATAACATATCCATATATATTTTTTTAATGACCGTGCAAAGGTCAGTTGAGGTTCAGCCTCGGTTGTCTACCCCATTATTTTTTGTCGGATGGTACATGTATGGCATAGCTTTCTTCCGCCTCTTTTTAATATTTTCTTTTTTTCAATTGGAGATAGTTGATCTAATAGACGTGGCGCACCACACTGAGACTATTTTGTGTGGTTTATCTGGATAACACATGTACAAGATATGAGAGATTGTCTTAAACCACTAAGCTATAATTTTCAAAAAGAAAATACAAGAATAAAACTATTTTAGTTTTAAAATTTTCTTTGTATGAATTTTTAGTATGCCTTTATGGTATAATGGTTGCACATGTTATTTTTACTTAAGGAGGTGCGTGCCAGTTCGTCTAGTTTACCTTTGTTTCATTGACATTGCCATTTGGTTTCCTTGTCTCATGACCCAGGTTTTGGCTACTCAATCCTCGCTGGTGTTCCGGCAGTGAATGGCCTGTACACAGCCATGTTTCCCATGCTCATGTACACGCTGTTTGGCACTTCCAAGCAGCTCTCTATCGGTAAGAAAATCATTGTATGCATGTTTTCATTGATGTTGTTGCTGTTTGGGGTTTGCTTTTTTACCTTAACATTTTTATAGCCTCCAATATCAGGGAGGTTATGCTTCTTTTGATAAAGAGCTCGGAAGAGAAAGGCACAGGGTGTGGCATCTACACTTTCAATGTCTCCCTAAAATAAAGGTCGCTGGAAGTTAAAAAAAAATAACATTGTGTGAATCACGGGAACGAACACCAAAGAGGCAATGTTCTGCGTGTTTTAAGCTGCGCTACATGTTTAATTCTAAGTTTTTCTGCACCCTGAGGTCGCCTAAATCTTGCAGGGCTATGTCGCCCACAAAAATTGGTGGCCGCGGAACGGTTTTTCGTGACGTCTTTTTGTAATGTTTTGTTCATATCATGGAACCCAGAAGCCCTTTTGTTGTTTTTGAGACGCCCTTTTGTTGTTTTTTTAAAGCCCTTTTGTTGTTTTTTGAGAAGATCTAACTTCGTTTGACTACTGTTTCCTGTCATCCATCATGCAGTTTTCGTTTTCCGTGTACTCAATAAACCAAAATAGTTTTCTGCGTCCTTGGCCACTTCCACAACCATAGCCGTGCTAAATCCGGAGTATGAGGAGGAGCTTTGCAGCAATCCAGTTTCCTGCTAACAGTTAGCGGTGCCATCAAGCATTCCATTCACAGGCCCGTTGTGGTGTCCAGAAACCTGTCAGCCCGCTAAATATCTTCTTAAAATATACACGGTGAAAAAATTAAAGCGCTCGCGCACGACAGAACGCCGAGCTCTAATTGGAAAGATATAGTGGGTAGACGTAAAGGCTACCTGCCTTTCTCTCGACTCACTGTTCGAACGTCGAACGCCGGCGTCCGGCGTTCGAACACAGACACTGCGCGAGGAGCAGACGACGCTTTTGTCAGCTCTGATTGGAGGAGGAGAGTGAACAGAGACGAAGGCCTTTGCCTTCGTCTCTGTTTGTGGGTACATGCCTTTGCATGTACCCACTAATCTTTCCAACGAGAGCTCGGCGCTCTGAACTCTCACGCGCTCTCATCCCTCTTTCTCCCTCGGTGTCTCTCCGAATATACTCTGGTACTAATATTCGTTCATGACGTAGAGTAAATGTAGTAACGTTGCACTTGAGTTCTTAAGTTTTTCAACATTCACGCCCCCCCCCCCCCCCCCCTCATCCCCGCGATCAAGTACCATCGGGTGATATGAAAGAGCCGCACACGAGCGAAACGGCGACCATCCCCATATATTTGCACTTACAATATGTTTAAACAAAAATGCTTATTTAGTTTAGGTTAAAGTTTTAAAGTTTTAAGTTAAAGTTTATTTTCACTAGCGTACTTTCTGGACTCACCCCCGTTGCGTAGCCCTCAGAAAATAGTTTTGGTAGAAAAATAGAAAAAAAGAGTATTTCCTTGCATTGTCCGACGCATCTAGTGCGTAACTCGCACTAGATGTGTACTCTATTCGTACTTTAATCGTACTGGAAAAAAAAATGGGTCGTTATTTCGCCGACAGGCTCAGCTCCGAAGTGGCTAGTAAAACACTATTCATAAAAATTTGTCTTTTTGTGGTTATTAGCGCTTTTGACAATCGTTATGGAGGCACTTCGACCGCAGTTTACGAAAGGCACTTCAGGGTCAATTAAATGCTTAACACAATAATATTCCAACCGCAAGCAGTGGGTGCTTGTACCATCAAGATCAAGCTCGGTCCACATTGCCGGTTTGGGCACAGCCACCTTGCGCGTCACCCGTGTTACTTTCGCCCTAAAGAATAGCTGACGGTTCCAGCGATTTTTGCCGTCAAATATCCAGCGTGCAACATTGTGATCTCGACCATCGAAGTGGGGGACAATTGCCCTATAACGATCGTTGTTTTTAAGAAACAAATCTTGCTATAGTCCGATTCTTTATAGATTGCCCTTAAACCGAAGGCCACCAGGTTTTATACCTGTGTAGTAAGCGCACAGCAGTCCAGAGAATGCAGTAATACAAGTGAATGAAGGAATGAACAATCTTTATTACATAACGAGTTCCAGTACCTTGGGGTGAAGCCCCTAATCCAAGAACCCATACAGAAATGTTACGTGCGGCAAGAAATGGTGGCTCACTGAAAATAACATGTGACCTTCAACAACTTTAGAACGTCACTGCCTCGTGTGCTACTGTTATGTGCCTGGGAAGCGTGCAGCTGTATGAAACGGAACGCCTGCTTTCTTTAAAACTTCGTTTGTTATCAAACGCCAGCTGCGATGCAGAGCAACCCACTCGTTGACACAGTCGCGAGAGCTACGCGCTTGCCGGCCCAATCGGCCACCTTCCCTCACCTAACCCGGCTCTCTGCGCGTAAGTGTGGGCGGGAGCGTGATCACGTGACCAAGGATAGACGTACCACTGGGTCCGACATGCATGTCGCTTCCACTGCACTGTCAGCTTAGGGATGAATGAAGCACGATCTGACCCTGAGCGATGTGTGTGTTAAGCTGAGATTCGGTTTCGCTCGGTGGAAAAACAGTCGAAGTCGAAAAAGTGCTGACGTCAGTCTGTGAAGCTGAAAACCATTAGCCCTAAACGATGTGTTCTAAACTGCGACTCTGTTTCGCTTGGTGGAAAAACAGTCTATATTGGAACAGAGTACTGAAGTCAGTCCGTGAAGCCGAAAGCCATTGGTAGTAACAATATAGCGTTTTTTTTTAGGTCTACAGAAGGGCATTTTAATCGGCAATTCGGCAGAACATTATTAACAAATTGTCAGAAATCAATTTTATCTAAAAATCTTTTCTGACACAGTCATGGAATATACGATTTAGAGTGGTATTGGCTTTCATATGATTCCACGAAATAGTGAGGCTTGTAGTCAGAAATCTTGGGAAATAAATACTTGACCTTCTAAGATTAGCCAGATACGCTTTTGATAAAATTTGAAAAGTACAAAACATAGGGGAGACAGGATTTCAACAAATATTGGGTGTCTCAAGAAGTCTCTAATCACCGCGGTATAGTACCCAGAAACAAAATTCCATCAACCTTTACCTCGCATGCTCGATAAGTATCGGAATTTAAGGATAGATCCTCTAAATTTGTTTTGAAGACAAACATTGTTTGCTAGAGTGAAAAATAGAACTTTCATTCAATTCCCCAATAAATTAAACTAAACTAAATTAACTTCACGTTTTCAGGTGCCCTTACTCCACGTGACATTAATTTCCTGCCACATTTGGCGTGGCAATAGACGGTGTCAAGTCATAGTGACTGTGCAAGTCGCGGGCCGCGTGTTTTGAGACCCATAGTATATAAGTAACTAAATATGACGTAAGCGGAGCACATACATGTTAAACATGGTGACTTTACCCGAAACTGGAGTTTTCTAACGGACTTTAGTGTCGTTTGTTTGCAAACCACGTTCTCGGGTAAAGTCATCATGCTTAGTCTTCACCCGCATGCTTCAACCTTCGGTGTTTGTTCGTACACACATTTACTCTAGTGGAGCGAAGTTAAGACATTTCATTCCTTAAAATCACACTTAAGCTTGCTCATGCATTTTCATCGTTTCTTTTGACACAAAAGCTGGTGCATATTTCCTCTTGGAATTGCGGTGGGAGATACAGACGACTCGCATATCGCTGTGAAACTTGCTTCAATCGCGTCAACTGCCGCACGACAGAGGCACCTTAATTCGCCCATTCACTCCCGCACCTTAGCTGCGTTTCCATTGCGGCTTCTCGCTTTTTTGTATTTAACTCTTGCCATAGTTGCTTAAAACACACAAACACCCATGCTGGGTGTTTGTGAATTTGTAGGTAAAATCCAATGATTCAACGCGCCAGCTACCAATAAAAACAAAGTGCCAGACTTAAAATCTTGGCCGCCCTTCAACTGCTGGGTAAAGCAAAATTGCTCTTGTAGAACCGAAACCAGGAATTACTCGTCAACTTGGGAATGTCAATTGAGATCATAGGTTCAGGTAGCATACACGTTCGCGTCCAACACAAGAATTGGAAGCCGTGAAAGCGTTAACTTGCAAAAATAAATATGAGCATTACACACTGTTTTCCGGGTTGTCTTTTTTGGCACACCGGAAAGAAAATTGGCTTTTAGGTATACTTTTGGAAATCTGGATATCTAACCAAGGCATCAAAATTTAAAAGGTCGCAGTTTGTATCACTGCGTTCAACGATAACAATCCCTGGAGAAGGGGAACGAGGGGTACGAAGGACAAACACAATGACCCAAACACAGCTAGGTGACAGGTGCGTGACTAAAAAAATCTGCCTGGTTCTGGTATCGAGCCAAGAACCTCTCAATTTTCAGTGTAGCGCTCTACCAACTGAGCTAACCACGAGCTATATATCAGTAGAACAAACGGGTTTTAACAGCTGCTACTTAGTTTCACCACTCACCACTGCAGGAAAGGCTCACTGTGTTCAGTTGTTATTTCCCTGGATCCTCCTTTTTTGAAGTGTCCACATCGCTACATATCGCACTGTCTTTTATGGTAGGTGGGATTGGGGACTGAGTGTGCTCAGAATGGAAAAAACTCTGAAAAAAAAAATTCTGCAGGAAGTGCTGATTGCGAAAGATGCCATATTTACACGTATCAACATACAGAGTATTTACAGAAAGTTTTGTTTACACAACATATTTAGCTTTTTTATAAATTATTTTAGATCCACCTATTCTAAAGAAACGGTAGCAATTCGAGAATTTTGAAGATGTTTGTCTCCGTTACGCTTTTCGGTATAAATTTAGCTTTAGCAAAACTATCGTTTGGTAACAGGACAAAATAAAAGGCCCAATCAATGTTTAAGTGGAATTCGATAGGCGATGGAGCTGTGGAGTGGCGTTTTTTCTACTTTATGGACGTCTTGTATGAAAGATGTTAAGATTTTGTCGACAGCATAAAACGCAAGAAACGTATTTGATTTTTTACTGCGATGTTTGCATAAAATCAAATACTTTTTGAAAATTTTCATTTCCACTCTCCAGACATTCTGCTGCGTATCTAATAAAGAAGAAAGTTGCGTATACGCCTCGCAAGTGGGCTCATTTTCGTCTTCTGCGCATGAGAAAGGAAGTAGCGGTGACGTCAGAACGCCGAGCCCTGATTGGCTGATCGCGACTCCCTATCCGAGCGTCGTCTGCTCCTTTGCAATGTCGTCTGCTCGCAACGTCGTCTGCGTCTGTCTTACCTTTCCTGCGACTTTCGGAGCGAACTCGACTTCGCCTTTAAGAGAGGGCAGACGAAATAACTCGAGCGGTACGTTGTTTTTGTCTAAAAACCAGCAGACGCGCATCAAGGAGGGAAGTCAAAGGACTCACTGGCGAGGTGTCCCGGGGCTCCGAGGTTTGTTTGCTTAGAACCGAGAGTGAGCGTGTTAGTGTCCGCAAGTTCCCTCCCAAACACTTTTTCCCTCCATTCGTGTGCGGCGAGACCCCTTACTCTTTAACGGCGTCAGCGGGTTGGCGCAGTTAGCGTCGTCTCCTTTACGTCTGCTAGTCAAAGCGATGGCTGCATTACCTTTCCTGAGTCTGTCGGAGATTCACCGCTTTTTCACCGGCGAGAGTCATCGTTGCCTCGGGAAGCAAGGAGATAACAAGAAGAAGAAATTGACCTCTTAATCTAAAACTGAGGTCAGCGATCAAAGTAAAATACGGGAAGGGTTCACAAGGGTCGCGCGGGCATATTCCATTCAGCACGCCAGCCGGTCGTGGGCAGACGGTCGCCGAGTCGCGGAGTGCCTGGCCTAACTGCCCAGCTCGTTTGGTCGCGTTCGGTGGAATCGTGGCCGTTGGAGCTTTTCCCGGGTGTTTGTGGATCCAGCGTTCTTGTTCGTCGTGGTCTGTTTCAAGTACTTCTTAATTTTTTCTTGCTGCTTGAAGTCGAGACGCGTCAGAAACGCAGGTAGAAAAATAAACGTCCGTGGGTCGTCGCGACCGCGACGCTGTCGGCCATGCTGATTTGATCGTAAGAAGTGCGTAAGACAGCTTCGGAGCTGCCGTAGGATTTCTTCGTAACCTGCGCAAAACTTGCGAAAATTTCGTTTCGTGAATACAAATTTGTTGTTAAGTTTTGTCTTACGCACATTTTTGGCGTAAGATCGTTTCGTGAATCTGGCCTCTGCGCTTCCGAAAGTCGCAGGAAAGGTGAGACAGACGCAGACGACGTTGCGAGCAGACGACGTTGCAAAGGAGCAGACGACGCTCAGATAGGGGGGTCGCGATCAGCCAATCAGGGCTCGGCGTTCTGACGTCACCGCTACCCTTTGCGCAAGAAGCAGACAAACTTGCCCTCCGCCCGTTTCCATCTGGATGAGCAGCGTGTACGGTTGTATCTCCCTACTGCCTGATGCACATTAAAGCCCCAGGATAGCAGTGGTACTTCATTGGCAAAACGTTTTACCTACCCCGGAGTGAACAGATGCCCATTGGGGCCAGCTACTGCCCGCACCTTAAAGGGACAACGTAATTGCAATTTTTTTATGCCGTGCATGTGTACTCATTTGTATTCTGTGTTGCCCAGGTGCCTTCGCCGTCGTCTGTATGATGACCGGAACAGTGGTAGGCCAGTACGGCTTAGAGTATGGAGCTGCCAACGTAGCATCGAGCCTCATGTTCTTCGTTGGCCTGTATCAGGTGCGTAGCATTTGGTCTTCGAGTCGTCTACTCCGTCTGAAGATACCCGGGATACTCGTGAAAACAATCGCTCTTTTAGGGTCGTGTCGCTATCCTTCACCCCAAAGCGCATATTATGCATCCCTATGCTTGGCGGTGGAATATTGCGATCGTCCTATCTTAGCCCCAGTCTCGACACCCTTTTAACGTGTATGGTGGATGGTTTCACAAACTTCTGATACTATTTCGACAGGACTTGGATCTCCTTAACACTTGCCTTGTGCATAAGAAGCAGTATTTTATTTCAATGCTTTTGTTTTCGCCCCATGGAGTTCAGCCTTAGGCGCTTGGTCGCTCGGACTGTATTTTTTTTCTTTTGTTTTTTATCATAATCTATCACGCGCACTTTTATTTATACGATATAGAACAGTCTTTCATTTGTGTTTTGTTAGACTGAAATCGTCGCGCACCCATAGTACCCTTGTTTGTCGTCTTGCAGCTGTTCTTCGGCGCTTTGAACCTGGGCGGCCTGAGCGTGTTCCTCTCGGAGCAGTTTGTGAGCGGCTTCACGGCTGGAGTCTCAGTGCACATCGGCTCCAGTCAGCTGGGCAGCCTTTTCGGCTACGACGTCGGACACTTCTCAGGACCATTTTTGCTCATTCGGGTGAGCAGCACAGATACAAACATATTTTAAACTGTGCATTTTTGTTTTCTTGCAAAGCTATGGTAGCCGCGGACACGATTGCCTTTCTTGGGACAACAATGTTGGGCGAATATAATCGTATATTCAAATGCTTGTCCCATCAACTACTTATTATTTAGCCCGAAAACTGGTTGTGTGTGATTGGTTCGTGAGAGACCAGTGACGGTGACTCACACGGTGACTCACACGGTGACTCACACGGTGACTCACACGGTGACTCACACGGTGACTGACCGGTGACTGACCGGTGACTGACCGGTGACTGACCGGTGACTCACACGGTGACTCACACGGTGACTCACACGGTGACTGACCGGTGACTGACCGGTGACTGACCGGTGACTGACGAGCGCTTTATTGTGGATTATCTCTTATACGATATTTATGTCCTACGAATTTGTTGATGATATCGAAAAAAATAAGAAACAGCAACTAATGAAATTGCAAGGTTTCACTTCTATGGGAAAAAAACCGTGTTTAACCAAATTATGAGCAACAAATGTGCAAGGTGCAAGTATCGCATAAAATCTGGATCTTTTTTTAAAAAAATCGCAAAGATTAATACGGTGTAATTTTGGCCTCCCTTTTCCCTAGCTCTACACTGCCTTCTTCGAGAAGATCAACACGACGCATCTCCCCACTTTGGGCATGTCCTGCAGCTGCATTTTCCTGCTGCTTCTCGTCAAGCTGGTGGTTGATCCTTACGTTGAGCGCAAGATCAGGATGCCCGTTCCCATTGAAATGATCCTGGTAAGTTTTTTGCGGGCCTTAAATAGTCACTGACAAGGTACTTATACTCGCCGAGGTTTGTATTTGTATATAGAGGGGGTCACAAAAAAAAATTAACAGGTTTTTCTTTTTTACTGCAAAAATAAACTAGGCATCGCCGAACGCTCATTCTCCGCCCAAAGTTAGCGCTAGAGGTCACAACCAGATGCCAAAGTTTCAGCCCGATCCGATACCTTATTTAAAAGTTATGTGATTTTCTGAAAATTTCAATGGGAAAAGGGCGGCCGACGCAGTTTTCGAATGCATGGGGTTCTATGAGATCGGAAAACGAAAACGGGCAAAAATGGGCTCTATTTTGACATTGAAATTTTCCAAAAATTACATAATATTTGAATGAGGTATCTGATCGGGCTGATACTTTGGCGTGTGGTTTTGACCTCTAGCGCTACCTTTGAACGGAGATTGAGCGTTCGGCAATGCCTAGTTTATTTTTGCGGTGAAAAAAAAAAACCCCTGTAATTTTTTTTTGTGACACCCTGTACATGATGATTTATAACAACCTAACTACGAAGGACCCAATTTTCGGATCGAAATTAGTTTTCATTCCGCCCGAAAACCGCCGTTCGAAAACTAGCCGGTTTGAGTCGCGCTCAGTCTCCTCTCCGTGGTCACGTGCCTTTCCCTATGGTTTAGATACGAACACCAAATACAATAACAGTCGTGGTTTATCGAAGGCACACACTCAATATTGCAAAGAGGACAAAAAATAATGTGGCTTATAAAAAGCTCAAAATACTTTGTTAAAAAAGAAAAAGTGTGTACAGAAAACTGGAAGCACTCCGTACATTTTCCGTGTAATTCTCAACATGGCGTCGTATCGCGGGAGTCGAGGGTTGGACGGCTCAACGAAGAGGACCAAGCGATAACGACGCACAGCAGCCGTGGGACCTCTACTTAACAGCTGCTGTTCGCGGTACCGACGAATTTGTCTAGCATCGAAAGAAAACTCTTCTAGCGATCAAAACAATTCGCATTTATTCCGTACGACGCGCCCAATTACCTAGCGGATTTGCAGGAAAACGAATCCAAGTAGTCGCCCCTTCTCGTATCTGAAAGACATCACTCGCCTTACGAACACAAATTGGTAAAAGCTTGAAAAACGCGCTAACGCCATCACAAGGTGCTCGACTTTTGCGTTTTTCGTGCAACGGGCGACGTGCGCGTTTTTCGTCTGCTTCGCACAGCCGAAAAAACGACCTGTTTTTCAGCTATGCTTTAACGTCTCAATATTACGTATATTTTCAGTTGTTAGTTTATTATTCTGCTTTTAATAAACTAATATCTTAATATTGAAAAAAAAATCGAGTTATAACATCGCATCGTCAACAATAATTTACGTGAACGATCGGTGGGATATAATGAATTAAACAAATAACCAACGAACTGTAAAAGCAATGTATATTTTAAAATAATAAAAAGTTTAAAATGGTGATATTGTATCGTACAATAAAAATGTAATCAAGTGAACTAATAAAACATTACGAGACATTAAATTACGATGCATCCTTCCATATTATATTTCCAGAACTTTCACATTTATATGTTACACGTGAAGTTTATTCTTGGACCTCAAACGCTTCCCATTCAGTTACGGCAACTTGCAATTTCTTAATATAAAATGCAGATGGCGACACGTGTTGAAGAATAGCTTGCTGTGCATTTTCCGTCGTGTGTCGCTTGGAACGGCACGTGAAAGAAAAAACTGCGAGATGTTAACTTGTCAGGTTCCTGGATGCCTGAAGTGAGCGAATAAGGGATATCGGACCAAGCACGAGGCTGCGGGTGCACCTCAGCTGCTTTTGCGCACGTACAACTGTGCGTCGGTACACTATGCCTGACGCGATCTAAGCGCGATCCAAATGAAATGGGAGCCGTGGAAGGGATTGCGCCAGTTGCGATTCCGCCACGTATACAAAAATAATTTAATGTCCTTATCCATTACAGAAATCATTTTCGTAATCGGACAGATACCCAACTGAGTATTCTAGTAACGTTGGGTTAAACCAAGTGCGGTAAAGGATCGTTGCCAGAGTGTGTTGGCACACCGTAAGGTCACTAAATCCTGGGAAAGTAGTCCCTAAGCTCCCCCCGTATGGTCACCATGTTGGTCCGTAAAAGGAGCAATTTCTCCTTGACCCCTCCGTTCTTGGTGAGGCGATCTAAATTCTCTGGTAGCGGGTAGGGTTCATGGAGATGTTCCTTGTATACCGAGAGTTTGCTATCCACACACTGGCGAAACAAGCGTACATCTTCGCACCATCACCACATGGTGAGTCGGTGCTTAGAGGGACTGAAAAATAAGTTTACCTTTTTTTAAAATACGCAAGAGCCACAATACCATTGCAAGAGATCCGTTGAGATAGGCATGATTGTTAAGTTGATTGCATGAACAGTGCCAAAGACGCTTCTATTGGCGAGGAACGCTTCCAGTACGATGATGCTCCATAGTGGTCTTGGCACGACTGGTTTAGAACGACCCTCTGGTAGCTTCGAAGATTTGAATGGACCGAGATGTCGATTTCCATGGCAACGTAGTCAGATTAGCCAATCGTCTTGCGAGGCTTTGGTCGTCTGTATGTTGGTATATGTTAGTGTCTGGCTAGCAGGTAGGCAGGCAATGGCGCTACTTTCCCTGGGTCCAGTGGGTTTGGCACACCGAAAATCTGAACAGCACCACTCAAACCACGGAGTTCACGTTGCTCAACCCGCCTGCATCCTACCGGCGTGCGATGGTATATTGCTACTGCGTGATTCACGTTAAAGACCCCAAGCTAACACTTGTTCTGCACCGGCCAAATTTATAATATAATGCGGGTAAAAATGTCGTCGTACAAAATTCCTGCTGTTTGAAAAAACTATCAACTAATTTTGAATGCGCCTTGACATTGCACTGTTAATGTGTGTTCGTGCGTTCGCGTTTTTTTGTTGTTGTTCTACATTTTTGATTATGCAGTTCTTAACTCTGATGAAATATAGTATAATTGTTGAACTTGACCGGTGAACGAAAAAAACAGACGCACTTAATAAAAGAAAAAGAATTTCTTACCATTGTCTTTTAAAATCTTATAGCAGTTCACGCCTAAATCAGTTTACGTTTGAGTGTACCAAAAAGCTTTAAAAGCGAGCTTTATGCTTTCAACGGCTCTACCGAGCGCGTACGCTTGTTCACTGGTAGGGTAATTCAGGGCACCATGCTCGCGCATGTAGGTTCCGCTTTGCTCGTACGGTGAAACCAAATACTATACTGGTAAAAGCATTTGGTGAAAAAAAGCTTACCTTCTGCACATGTGAGATGCCCTCAATTTTCACGTGACTACACATGTGCTCATCACACATTTTTTCGTTTCCCACTGCGATTAAGCTCGTGCTCTTTCGTGTGCTACATGGATTAGAGGCCAAGGTAACTCAGGAGCAATCTATTTCGCGGATTGCGAAAAAAACCTATGCAATAGCCACGTGTGCCACAATCAACACGGAATATTCCAAACTTCAATGTGTTCGCTTGCATAGGTTAACAATGTTGTTTTTGAAGAACTGCGATTGGTAGGAAATCACGTGGAAAAAAAATCGCTGTCGGCTCACGACCGTTGGATTGCAGGAAATACTCATATTCGGCGCCGAGATGAGCGGTAGCTATCAACAGGTGGTTTTTCTCTAAACCAAATTCAGAGTTAGAATATTTCCTACTTTCTGTTGTAACCAATCGGAAGACAGCTTACACCAATTCTTAAGGTAATTAGGTATTATGAACGTTCAAACATTGCGGCGAGCAGTATACGTGCAGAAGTTTTGACTTTTGATGCACACTTATATTTCGATACTCTGAATGTGGTGTGAAACGTAACTCTGTTTCAGCGTTAATGCGCGTCGTAGCACCGTATTTTATACAACTTCACACTTTACCCTTTGCATTTTTTTTCTTAATTTTTCGCACATGACTGTTTGCCCGCAAAAAAATCGTCAAATTAAGGCTGCTACATTGTTTAAACTCTGTTAAAAAGCTATCCACAGACCCAGATTATTTGCCTGCTACCACTCATTTTATTTATCACTCAAGTCGTATTAAAACTAAGTTAACGCTTAATGCGGTGAGTGAATTTTTAACCTTTGGATTACTATATTAGGCGTAAAACTTCCACCCCAGTACTGCTTCGGGTTTACCGAACTCAGTATCTACACCCGAGTGTCAATTTTCTTGTTTTTTTAATATCATATGGTTTTTGTCAATAGAAACGCCCAGTGACCTTAATGAGACACCTGACAAACGAAATAGCTTATTTGTTTTGATTCTTGTGGTATTTATCTCCTCAAGCTAGAACTTTAGAAACCCGCGTCAATCACGTCATAACTTTTACCTGGAAATTCATAAATAGCTAAACACATGCACGACAAAGTAGCCGGCCCGTGATCACATGGAAATATGTGGGATGGGCGTGCAAGACTTCTTTTTGGCTAATTGCGCAAGGGCAATTTTTTTATTTTTCAACGCGTCGGTTCTTTCGTTGAGCATGTGTCTCGCCATCTGGTTCTGGAGGACTTCCGCGTTTTGTTCTGACCACATCTGCTGGAGACATGATCTCGGAGCGTACGTATGGCGTAGGTGGGCGTAGGCAATTGCCCCCTTCCCCCCCCCCCCCCCCCCCCAAATCCCTTGCACAAAAACTGGTGCAGCCGAGCGCGTTTCACAGAAAGCTCGCACAGAAAAAAACAATCGAAGAATGCAGGGACGTCAATTTCAGGATATAGAAAAATACCACACTGTATCGAAGGTGCCGACACACGATTTATTGCATTGTTTTACAGGTCTGGAAGGCGATTCCATCGCCCTCTGCTGGTTCAGAATCACACTAAACAACGGTGGGATTGTACCTTAAAAAACACCGCCGAAAGCATTGTTTTTTTGTCTGGTCATTTAATGTCGTGTCAGGAGACTACCCAATGAATATTTTGCTAGCGTCGCGTATATTTTTAAGGTAAAAAAACTCGACTGCTCGAAAGCGAAACCAAAACACGTGCATGGAAGCTTGTGGGCGGAAATCACGTAACTGCACCCAACCTCGTGTTTTATTGTGTGGGTGTTTTTTTTTTGTGTGTGTTTTTTTGCTATGCTCTTTCTGTTTTTGAAGCAGACGACGACGAACTTGCGTCAACCGTTTGTCGTGCGATTGTTTCGCACTTATTTTCTTTCCGCTCGATGTTCTGCGCGTAAAGATGGATTGGCCGGTAGCGCGAACGACAGTTACAAAGTTGCGTCCCCACGTCCGTCGCAACGTTGGTTTGTCGTGCGCCGCCATCGCGTCGTCCAGCCCGCGGTACGTCGCCATACAGAGAATGACGTGTACATGTACTTCCTGTGATCTGGGCGACGTTCTTGTTTTTTTTTGTTTTTTTTTCTTTCGATCAACCTATTAGCAGCTTCTTGAAAGCCACAAAAACCTCGGAATCACATTTTCTTTCTATTTTTAATATTGCATCTGTGTCTTAGATAACCCACGACTTTGAAAATATTCGGTACACATAGTTTGAACTTCACATGACCGGGAAAACGTGAGTGAGCGCGATTAGAACCGGACAACTCTCGACCGGCTGTCTTCGCGCGGAGTGAAAACAGAATTTTGGGCTGCAAATCGTGTTCCAGGTAGTTTGGCTCTTATAGGTCACGCTCAAATAAAAACCTCGGCGAGCAAAAAATACCCTTTCGGTGGTCCTTCAGTAAAAATGGTCCTTCAGTAAAAAGAGACTGGAAGGGGATCATTCATTTATTAAGACAGATCTAACAAAATATGTTCCGTCAAATACTGAAACAATGGTTCTTTTTTCCGTAGGTCATCGCAGGGACTCTGCTTTCCCGCTACATGACTCTGGAAGACAAAGGATTTGCCGTCATTGACAACATTCCCCGAGTGTGAGTCTTTCTGTCGCTTTATGTTTCCAACGAAGTTTTTGTACGAAAAAAGTGCTCGTAAAAGGCTTTAAAGGTCTACAGGCCTCATGTTCATCCTCTGTAAAATCGTTGTTAGGTAACATGCATCTAACGGTCTAACCAGTACTTGATGTAAAGTAGATGGTAAATGAGAGGTTATGTGCTTGAGTAAATGAGAGGCTATGTAAGTACACCGGACGCAATGTGCTTAAAATGGAGTACTGTAAATACAATGTACTTTCAAAGTAAAGTGCAAGTACTCAGCAAGAATCTTTCATTCCTGTATTGCAGTGTTGTTTTTAAATGCTATGCATAAACCCAAGGGGTAAGCGAGGGGTGCATCAGTTATTTTCGGAAATGGCGAATAAGTTAGGCGGCCAAAAAGTGGTTGGTTTACTATCGCTGACAAACTATTAAAAACTCACAACTTGTAGGGCAATTATATGTATCGGTCTTATAACCGCCTTTACTTCACTTAGAAAGAATGACCGGATGACATCTTGAAAGACGATAGCACGTTTTCATATGATGAGGCGCCATTGTTTTTCTTTGTGAGATGTTGGTGAACTCTTATACCATAGAGGAGGCTATGCTTATACTCAACCACAAGAGTTGTGCATCCTACTGGGAAAGACTTTGAAGTCGGGAGCTGGACTTTGTTCGGAAAGCACCAGCAAAAAAATTTAAGTAAAGTACGAATACATCCTCGGAGAATGTACTTCAAGTAAAGTGCACGTTTTCAAAAGCCACCTGAAGCAGTACTTTCAGTACGATATACTTTAAGTACTTCCCAACACTGTGGGGAAAGCTCAGTATACGCGATTGAAAAGCCGGGGCCTTTCAATGTGCACGCCAGTACAAGGACTGTTCTAATTTTAATTCCAACGCACACAATTTGCGGTGTTAAGGATGTTTAAAGTGCCTGGGTGCTTAAACTCGGGTGTATTAGGGAGAAAAAAAGGAAACATTTGGCCTTTTTCACTTAGGACTGAACGTTGGACAAACTGTCATTATCAGGAACGTAGAGAAATGCATTTGGTAAAACTCGTAGGGCAAGATCCGCTATGCGATCTGCGCTTCCTGCTTTGTTATAGCTAGGGCTCCGTGCTTTCGGAGTTCATTTTTCGTCAAATTCGGAGGGTGTTTTTCGGAGTTTATTTTTTGCCGAAGATTCGGAGTTTATCGGAGTTTATATTTTTTTTATTCCCGATTTTCCGAAATTCGGAGTTAAAATTCGGTGTGTTGCCTATTAAATATAAATAAATGAATAATAACCGAATGTAAACGTATGCCAGATAAAAAATAAAACGCGCTTGTATCAATTGAAATATCTTCAGTTGAATTTGGCGTTAATGCCATTGTTATTGGCAATACTAATTTATCCACGAGAAAAGTTACACAAGTGGCGCTTCGATAAACGTCGATACCTTAAAATCAATAAACTCCCGGAGGTAGTCGCTAGGGAAGCTCGCAGTCAAACCATCCTATTCCATCAATCTAGCCCGCGGCCGAGCGAGGTGGAGTGGTTAAAGTGGTAGTAGAGAGTTTGAACTGCCCCTCTTTCCAAATTTATACAATCCCCATGGTCCATAGCTTTCACTGTTACTAAAACATACCCTCTCCTTCCTCTAAATCACAAATCGCATGGTCCAAACTGGAAACCAATACAGGGGCTTTTGTCGTGACACGAATTTACAACGAACGATCTGTTGCCCTCAATCAACCTTGAAGAGACAAGCGGCAAGACCCCTTTTGACAACGGTCTGAGATTTGAAAGATGATTATAGTTCCATTTTCCCAGGACCTTTAAAGGGGCACTGAAACCCCAAAGGTCGTACTCTTTTTTATTGTCTAAAACGATGCAAGTTGTACTCATAGACACGCAAAAAAAACCGCATCGCGAAAAAAAAAATTTCCCCGCGCGAGCGCGCGCCTTTTTATTTTTGGCGTTTGTATTTCCCGCGCTCACCTCCTTGCTTCTTTTGATCGGTAACGTCAAAAATCAGGAAATTTAGAAGCTTTGTAGGCGACATTTCTATAAAATTTAATAACGGCAATCGTAAAACGTGTTTTTTAACGCAATGACGAACGCACTACGGCCTTTCTTTTTGAAATACCAAAAAACAGATTTCGGTGTGATGTCGCTTCCTGGATTTCTGTTCTCCCTCGGAAAACTTGGCGGCACTCGAGCAGAGGCTTATCGCCGAGTCGGGGAAAAAACCGGTTTTTCCCCGCGCCGGCTCCCTTCTATCCCGCTTGCTCACCTCCTCCTCTCTTCGGGTCGCGGTAGCAACGGCGCTTTGCTTCACAGCGTGGTGCGGAGGTCCGAAAGAAAGTCGAGTGGCAGGAGACCGCAAAATTTGACTCACTGCACTGGCGCGGATCGCGCGGGAACTTCAAATTCGGCATTTGGAAATTGTTTTTTTTTTTTAATTCACGAATACTGAATTACCAAGTTCCGAATTTTGAGGGTAATGTCCCGGCATCATTTTCAATCGTTTAGGATAATAAAATAAATTACGATTTTGATGTGTCAGTGCCCCTTTAACTCCGTGCTGATCAAACTATATAAAAACTTATTTTAGTTTTTTTTCTTTTGCCGGGGGGAGGAAGGAAGGAAGGGAGGGAGGGAGGGAGGGAGGGAGTGCCATTGGCAGACAAATATTCGGAGTTCATCGGATAAATCCGAATTGACCAAAATTTTACCGGCGGGTGTTTTTCGGAGTTTTTCGGATTTATCCGAAAACACGGAGCTTTAGTTATAGCGATAGCCTCGTGCTAACAAGCATTAAACTTCACTGAATGCATTCCTTTTTTTTCTTAATGTGTGAAGTTTGTTCGTCACGCTAGTGCCGTGCTGGCTGCTGCTATGTCACCAAAGGCTTCCTGTTTCCATCGTTGCATTTATAGGCAACGTTATCAACCATTTCTGACATGCGCCACGTTGTAACGCTTCAGGATGAGGCGAACGCAATTTAAATTGGCTTCCACCTGAAATGAAGTGCACTGAAAAATCGTTTCCTCCTGCCCAGTCTAGAGTTATAATCGCCGCGCTAAACTTCCATCAGCTCGTCTGCGCACTGATTGTAATTCAGTCAGTTATATTTGTAAAGCGGTGCACAAGTCACCTATAGAGGGCGCGAGTTGCCCTCTAATTCAGGCGGAATTCCATTACTTCGGCGTCTATGTCATCTTTATCTTGGGGTACTCGCCCAAACATATAAGTAGAAAGCTCCTGGAGGCAACCTGACGCCACCAGAGGTGAAGCCGGGGCAAACTTCCGGTTTGAAGGGGCACGCCCCTAACGATGACTAAAACCAAAAGACGCTACTGGGCGGACTTGGGCAACCTTGGGTACGTTCCCACCGAACGAGCCTCTACTTCCGGCTTCACTTGGATTTTCTCATTTGGCTGGCTTGAGCCGGTATGTCGCCTGCTCTTATTCCTACCTCCGTGTCCCCAAATATTTGACATTTAACCATTAAGGATCGGGCTTTTACGCTGCGTCACTCCATTGCCAAATGCTACTTCAGAACGCTGCACCCCGCTTCTCTCTTCCACAGGTTCCCGATGCCGACGGTGCCTGACCTCAGCATTGATCTCGTATCCAAGGTTGCAATACCCGCCCTGGCCATCGCCATTGTCAGCTTTGCAATCACGGTCTCTCTGGGTCGCATCTTCGCCAGACGTCATGGTGACGAAATTGTGCCGAACCAGGTGCCGTCAATTCATATTCGCTGTTTTCCGGGATACAGATCGACGCGCATAGTTCGCATAACTTAAGATTGTCACGAAGTCACTTAAGCTAGTCGATTTACAGAGAAAATGTATTTCCTGATGTCGACTGCTTTACCAAGCCTTTGTGTATCAGATTGTCACGACCAGACAAGTACACGTTACTGAAATAAGGGACCTAAGTACCATTACTCGTTACTCGCAAAGTAACGAAATATACGCTGCTCCTTTCAAGGATACAAAAAGTAACGTATTACCTTGCCTTGAAAGTAACGCTGTATTTTCTCGTTACTCTGAATGTCGCTTTCATGAAGCACTGGCGATTCTAATATTTGCTTCTTTTGCATTCATGAATAAATGTGACTATATTGACATATTTTGTTAGCGTCCTTTTATGGTTTGTCTAGCGTTTTCTTGTCGTGCAAATCACCAACATAAGCTGGGCTGAGAACAAGGTTGCGTGCATGCGCTGTACACGTTCCCCTCCAGAAGTGACTAAATACCGTCACCTGTTACTTCACCGAAAAGTAACGCAAATACTCTACTCGTCCCTTCTCTTAATAAGTAACTAAGCCGTCACTTTGTTACGCAACGCGTTACCCGTTACGTGTTATGTATAAGTATGGTCCTGAACACAGCCTGTGCTTAAAACTTTTCGTATTGAGCCTGCAATCCACATTCTACATTTTACCCTGTAGCACCTACACCGAATGAACTTGAAACATTCTAATCAGAGAAAAGTTTTCAAATTTATTTTGTGATCTGTTTGGATTTTGCAGGAATTCCTGGCGTTGGGAATGTCCAACCTTTTCGGCTCTTTCTTCGGCTGCTTCCCGTGCGGTGCGTCCGTACCACGCAGTTCCATTCAAGACAACGTGGGCGGTAGAACTCAGGTGAAGCTTTTTGCAATTTATGCTTACGTTGGTTGGATATATTTTTTTATTAAAGGATGTTTCTAAAAATGTTAACCTCAAGACATGCATGCCAACTGTGGCGTTAAAAGTCGCCTATGATGTGTTTTTTTTTTTTTTTTTCAGCTTGTCAGCCTTATTAATTCGGCGTTGATTGCCATTGTACTTCTGTATCTCGGGAGCTACTTGGAGAAACTTCCAGTGGTAAGACGGCTTTTTATACTTTAAATAGCATTCAATAGATGATTGCCGTTATCTTTTTTAACAACAGCTTGCATAGAGAACAGAAGATAAGGGTATTCACATTAGAGAATTCATAGAATCGATTTTGCTTCAAGTCTAGGAAAGTGTTAGTCGAGCTTTACTCGTTGGAATAGTATAAAATTGAAAATTAAACCACTTGGATTTAGAGCAAGTAGGCATGCGAGCTGTTGAAGGATTTACGAATATCTTCAAAAAGAATATTTAGCTGAGTTTGGAGTTTCCTGTCAGTCCGTCCCTTTATGTCGCCTGGCTTTAGGGTTACAGTGTCTGATCAAACCACGCTCTGCATTCGTATTTTTCCTCTCTTTAACCTGCATGTCTCTAGTGCAATGCTTGGCCTCAATTTTTCCGTCCAATTTTGAAGACTAAATCCCTAATATTTTTTCTCCTTAGGCTGTTCTGGCTGCGATTATCTTCGTGTCTCTGAAAAAGGTTTTCATGCAAGTCCGTGATTTCATCAATTTTTGGAGAATTTCCAAGATTGACGGAGTGAGTTTGTTGCGCATATTTTATTTCAATTATACATTAACCTATTACTTAAAAAAATGATATTGTTCTCTTTCATAGACATTTCATCTATTAGATCATATTTTATTTTTCAACTTAAATTTCTATTTTCGCAGTTTTTGTTCAAAATACCTACTCAATTTCTTTGTTTTAACGCCCACGTTGTCTTAAAGGGCAACTCCGCTTCATTTTTGATATTTAGGAAACTGTAGCCCTCCTCAGGGTATCATGTAGGAAGACCCCAGGTCAAATATTACGACCTAATTCCGTCTCTATATTTAATTAAGCGGCCAGCAAACCTTTTAGTGAGCCAAGACGCCGAAATCTGCCAACTCTAGCGTGCGACGTGAGGCGCAATTGTCAGCGCAGTCAATGCCACGGAGTTGGAGTGGCCAACGTTGAGCCACTGCGTCAGAGGCATGACTACGTCATTCTCACGTTTTGTTTGTTTTTACTTCTCAGAGCGAAATTGAACGATGACGTCATGAGTTTCTCCTCCCGGTGTAGGCTGACCGGGCGTCCACGTGATCACCGTAACGCGGATGCGCTAGTTTGCGCTACCCTGCGCCCTTATCGGTCTGTTTCTCCGCTCCCCCTCTCCTCTTTCCTCTTCTCCCCTTCTCCCCCGGGCCATCACCGTCCATGCCATGCGAAGCGACCTGCCCGCGTCGCGTGTCCTGTCCCTCGCCCCCCCCCCCCCCCCCCCAACGTCACAAGACCACGTGGTTCGACGTGACGTGGCCATGACTCCGACGATACGAGAGCAATGTTGCCTGACGCAACCGAAGTTTCGGTTTCGGTATCGGCTGATGTTTAAATTAAGGTTACACAAATAATAATCCCCATTTCGCGAATCCGAAGACGTAGAGCTGTTTAGTAGTGCTTTGTGAAATAGAATCACATGTAAGCCTAAATTTTTCGGAATCGAGCGGAGTTGCCCTTTAAACTCCTTACTCTTTTGCAATCGTATACGGTTTATTCGTCTAAAAATTTATAGATGTTCCAAAGTTTCATATAAAAAATGTGAATTTTATTTATTCATATGTTTTATATCTTCCAGAATATGTACATTCAAATATTGTTATTTCCATTTTTACTAACTTCTCGGGCTATTGCATATTTTACGCTCAAATAGAAACTTTTCTTTATAGCGTATGTCATTACATTATGCTCCTTTCTACTTACTGCGAATTTTCGTTGTTGTGTTCTATTCGCACAGTACGTGTGGCTGGTGACGTTCTTCGCAACTGTCGTCCTGGAAGTTCAGCTTGGTCTGATTATCGGAGTGGTCTTCTCACTGCTCACGCTTGTCTACAAAATCCAGAGGTGAGTGCCATCACCTTCAGACGAACAATGTTTACGGTACCAAGCACATAATTCTACGTCCTCGCTCTGCATTTTCATGCTTTGGCCATGTGATTAATGTAGGCTTTGTTGCTAAGTGATGAATTTGCGAGCGCGAGTTCCTCACTCTCTAATTTTAAGATGAAACGTTAGGTTAAGGAAACTTGGAGAAGTTTACCATAGAATACTGTGGAATATACTCTGAACAAATTTGCCAATTAAATATATTGTTAACAGTTACCATTGATACCTCTGCCACCTTTCTTCGTGATCTTTTTTTATTGGTATTGGACTGTACACACTGCTGCACTTTATGCAACGTTCAGAAAAGTTAACATTGTTTCTTCGATAACTCTTCCAGGCCTAAGACCTGTCTTCTTGGTTACATCCCCAACACGGATTACTACGTGCCCCTCAAGAAGTATGGAGTGGTAAGAGACGCATTTAAGGGTCGCACACCTTGTTAGCATGCCGTTAGAAAATAGGCTATAAGTAGTATTACGATAACTACGATTCAGCGTAGTAAACTGACGCTTTTACCAAGACAAGATTCGCGTTTATTTGTATCTATCATGTTTGAGCACGACTCGAGAGCCTAAAACTGGCAAACGAGTAGTCTAAAGACGTAACGATGCACAAAAAGGTGAACGTGAAGTAATATAAATATAAATGATTCACTCATGTTTGTTTTGTTCTACCAAGAGCTTTTGTTACCACGTGATACCAGATCTGTAAGCGTTACTATTAGCGGTTCCTATACGGAACTCTGTAGCTCTTGCAAATTACATAAAATTGTGTTAGTGTAATGTTGCGACAAACGTCTTGTCGAATGGGTCATAATCGCTGTCTTTTTTTACTTTATTCTTTAAAGGCAAAGGAGCTAGGTGGAATTAAGGTGTTCCACTTTGGCGGGCCTCTGCATTTTGCCAATGCCGAATTCTTCAGGGCGGAACTGTCGCGCCGCACGTTTGTCAGTGTCAGGTTCGTACCCTTTCATTCATTTGTTCATTTATTCATTCATTCATTACCCGTTAGTTGCCCCAATAGGAACATTACATTACAAGCCAGGAAGGCAAACGTAAAAAAAAAAAAAAAACTACGTGGGAGCTGTTTTTATGATACCTACAGCATCCACCACCTAATGAACATCTGCACTAACTCGGACTCAAATATACAGGGTTAGCCTAGTCTTTCACCGTTTAAGAAAACCTTATCTTAGAAACTATGGCAGGTAGAACAAAAGATTCTAGGGAGCCAAATCATGCTTTTTTTTTTACGGGTGGTTTTGCAATCACATGTTCCAACATGACATAAATTAAGAAAGCGCAGTTTTATTTCTGTCAAAAATAAATCGCCGGTTAAAGTTCAACACGAATGCGATCTGCCGAATATTAGAGGCATTATAGCGTAGAGCAAATATCATAGGCACCTGCAGCGCCGGGGACGTGTACAGATCTGGTAGGCCCAGTGGGAATAGAGACGGCCGACTCTGTACTAACAGCCTTTCAACGGAGTTCTCCGAAACCAACTCGCCGCATGATGTAAGAAATGAGTATTTATCTTGTCCATAATCATTTCTGAAGTGTCGTTGTACTGTAACTGGAGATTTACTTTCACGACATCATCCGCGCTTTCTTCAATTAATTCATGTTCAAACAAAAAACTGCAACGCCGTCTGTAAAGAATAAAAAAACGCCCTCTAGGAGTAAGTTTTGGTAACACCAAAACTTTAGTATTTCTATCTGTCATAGCTTTTAAGATACCCTATATCGTAATCAAAGATACTTTGGATTCACCTTGTATTCATGGAGATCGTCACGTAAACGCAACGCCTGCAGGAGTTTGGAATCTTCTTTCTTAGAGCTAGGCCACATTGTTCATAAAACGTTTTATGGCACACATGTTTATGCTTCACCCAATGAATTGTTGCTTAATTAATTTCTTCAATTTACCCAGTGAGCATGCCAGAAAAACGCCCATCTTGGCGCGAGCTTGGCAATATGCGGGGCTAAAATTGGGCAGAATAGTGTTTTGCTCCAATGCGTTAGTGTCGGAGTACTTTTTTTCTTGTGCAGTTCTATTTATTTTTTTTACTCACCACAACATTTCCAAAGTGAAATAGTTAAACCAAACGTACCACGCATGAACCAAAAGACCAGGAGTAAAGCTAAACTCTGGCGCTTGTACAGTGAATTGGGGTCACGATAGCCCAGACTGTCCGAAGAAGATAAAGTTTTGCTCTACCGATTTTTTGGCTATACGGAACAATGCTACCTGGGTAAGAAGTGGTAAACGACTCGAGTATCTTACATTTCCTTTTCGGCGATAAATCACGCTGTATAAAATCCTTAGTGTATACCTTCCGTTTAGTGAACCAAGACCTCGTGTTTTTACCTGTTCTTATTTTTAACGTTTGTGTTTTCTTTTTCCTTCAGCAAGGTAATTGCAGCCCGCGAAAAAAACGGAGCCAAGACCCCGTCACTTTTCTGGGTTCGTATTTAGGATTTTTATTTTTCTCAGATGTAAGTTATTAAATACAAATCTTTAGGTGATTGAATTACATTTTAATCCCAGACGTTTGCAGCGCCTATGCTTTACCTCCAACACATACCACCACGTTTCATTTCGCTTCTTTTTTTAGCGCATGGATACAACCAATGTGAAACGCAAGTCGTCTGCTTCTTGAACAGAGCTTGCGATGATCTGAGAACACGGAGCTCTTATTGGCTGATCGAAAAAGAAAACAGTGGGTGGACCTCAAAGCCTCTACCGTTAAGGTCTACCCTCTACATTTCCAATCAAAGCCAATCGGAACTCGGCGTCATTCTGACGTCATGGCAACCTCTGTGCCAGAAGCAAACGACTTGCTCTCCGAATAGCACGCAGAAGACAAGGCCGGCGCATGACGTCATTCTTAGGGGGTCGCCAACCCGCCCCAAGCGTCAAAACGCGGTGGAGCTCGACTGGAGTAGCCGCAAAGCGACAGACTCGTGTGTCTTTGCGTTGTCGCTTGCTAGCGTCGCACTCGGCATGAGAAGCTTCAATACGTGCTGGTACCGATGCTGACGTACGCTAGGCGGCACTCCGTGGATGTATGCGGTGAACAAGTCGTCTGCTTCTTTTGGAGGGGTTGTGGTGACGTCAGAACGCCGAACTCTGATTGGTTCTGTTTGGAAGCATAGTGGGTAGACCCTAAGGCAGCTTGCTTTGAGGTATATCCACTATCCTTGCAATCAAAGCCAATCAGAGCTTGGTGTGGTTCTGACGTCACTGCAAGAAGCAGACGACTCTCTCTCCGCATAGTGATGACGTATATGGGTGAAAAAGACTCGAGGTCTTTGACTTCAAGGCGGCATTTACGCACCTCGCGATTCATTTGTGTGTCTAACCGTTCATAGCTGAAGCCGGACGAGACTCGGTCGAGCTACGAAGAGCTGGCCGACTCGAGGGCCAGCATCCCGTCGAGCAGCGGGGTGAGTGTCAGCACCCAGACCAACTCCGAGTGTCCGGCCGAGGAGAAACCTTCGCGCGAAGAAGAGTTGCCGCGACACATCATCCTCGACTTCTCTCGGGTGAGCTTCATCGACGGCTCCAGCGCCATCGTCTTCAAGCAGGTAAGCCTCCTGGAATCGCCCTCGTCTTAAACCAAGCGAGACAATTTCTGTAATCGCCTTCTATGCGGAACGCAAGTTCGTCTACTTCTGGCACGGGAGTGGCGGTGACGTCAGAAGGACGCCGAGCTCTGATTGGCTTTGATGGGAAGGATAGTGGGTGGACCTCAATGCTAGATGCCTCGAGGTCTACCCACTGCTTATTTTAGAACGCAGCTCTTACGCGCCCGTTTCCGGCTTCAGCGGCGTCGCCGTCAATGTAACCGCGCGGTGCTTATGGGAAATGTCCCATAATGCAACGCGCAGGACTCGTGACGTCAAGAGTGACGTCACGAGGGTTACGTGACGTCACGTGACCTCACGTCACACGTTGCATTATGGGAAACTTTTTATGATTCAACGCGCCGCGAAGAGGAGGAGGAAAGGGAGGAGGGAGGAAAAGGGGCATACCCTCCCCTTAGTGCCCTCCCCTCCTCTTCCTCCTCAAGAGCTGCGCTCTAATTCGGCGTTACAGGGAGTTGTAAACGTCTTTTTCAATCAGCCAATAAGAGCTCGGCGTTCTGGCATCATCCCAGCCCCTGCGCAAGAAGCAGACGAACTTGCGCTCCGTATGCGTTGGAGTCTTTGTTTCGTGGCTGTGGAAAGCATTGTGAGCGTGTGCACTAGCTCTGGTCTGCTGATTTATTAGACGTCGTGTACGCACCCGCATCCACGGGAGTCGGCACTCTTCGCCTGGAAAAGTGCCGGAAAGTTATATGTTAGAATGTATGAGGTGTAACGGACCCTTTATAAACCATCGTCATCCCATGTTTCTGGGCATCGCTACGTGTACGACGCTTGTGATTGGACCCGAATCTGCGCCGACCGCTGACGCGACGCTCGTGTACAATAAATGTTCATGAGTATGCGAGCTCAATATACACGGTGTTCTAAAAAAATGAGCAGAGTTTTTTTAAGGTTCTTTTCACCGCAAAAATAAACCTTACGGATCGCCGGTGGCTCATAAAGAAGTTTTCGTGGACCGTTTTTTTCACCTCCGCTGAGCTCTCCGGAACGAAGACGCCACTTCTGCGCATGCGCGGGGCTAGCCTTGCCTGCAGAGTCCCGGATGTCGTAGCGGGTTGCGGAGAACGTTGCGGGACGGCGGAAACAATCTACAAAAACTCCCTATTCTCTGCCCAAAATATAATGCTAGCGGTTCAAAGTTTTTGGACCTAACCGTTATATTACTCAAAGGTTATACGTGACTGCCTCAATTTTTCAATAGGAAAGTGGCGACCGACGGAGCACTCGAACACATGGCGTTGAATGGCGCCATTTTCCTGTTCAAATTTTTCGTAGATCGCTTATAACTATAAAATAATATAACTATTTCTTCTGACTGAAACTTTGACATCTCGTTCGGACCTCTAGCGCAGCACTTGGGCAGAACATGAGCGTTCGACGGTGCTTATTTTAGTTTTGAGTGAACAAATCCTGGGAACTTTTTTCTGCCTCTGCCCGCCTCTGATGATTAGCGCGGAAGCTATTTGATGGCGCGTACTTTAGCAAATTGTCGAAAGCAGTGTCTAGACAGCATCTCTTGTACTTGAACGGGTTAGCGAAAGTCGATATTAGGGGGCATTACGGCTGCTAAAATATAAAACACTTTTTTTTTATTCAGTTCATGCCAGGATACAGGCGAGCTGGTCAGTTCCTGCTGTCAGGCAGGAACTGACATATTTTAACCCTTCAGTTTCCCCACACACCAGGTTTAAAAATGTTTGTTTCATCGTCGCTACAGACATCTTATTTTCAGTACATATTACGCTACTAGATATTTAGTTGGGAGCTTTACCGCGGAACGCAATTCCACAATATCCTGTTCTTCGAAATGTTGGCGTATGCTGTGTTTTTTGTGTAATTTCTTTCTCTATATAACTCTTCATACTGCGCAGTCAAGCTAGGCGTAAAGGGCGGAGCTAACGTCTAACTTGTTATGGTAGCTCCAACATGCCTGTCTTTTGTTACTTAATTACTATCTATAACAAATATCTAAGTGTTGATGAAAATTGAAGGTCCCGTCGTCTCTTCCCGCCTGATGCTAGGTTCTCAACGAGTTCCAGGGAATCGGCATCGGAATTTACATTGCCTGCTGCTCAGGTAAGACCATTGACATTGCAGCGTGCAAGACAAGAAAACTATCTTGTTTTTTTTTTTTTTGTGCATATTTTTCGTTTTGTTTTTTTAATTGCAAATTCATTTATTGCTTATATACTTATTTCTCATACGAGTGTAATAAATGCGAGCAATAATGACTTGTAATATTATTTTGATGGCTTAGTACGAAAACACAAGGGAAGTAACGAAAAAAAAAAAAGACTCCATATAAAGTTTCGTGAAAACAAAAATTGAAATCTTCGGCGAGACATTCTGCGAAAAATTTTCACCTCTTTCCTGTTGTAAACTATATAAAAAAAATACTGGAAGTCACGAGCAGTGTGTCTATTTCAGCCTCCGTCTTCTCGATGATGAGGAAAGGCAGGATTCTGGAAGAGATCCCGGCGGCCAACTTCTATCCGTCCATCCACGACGCCGTGCTCTCCGTGTACAAACAGCCTCTACCCGCGGTCAGTGCCATCTTGTCGACATCACGTGCTATTTCTCAACGCGAGCCAAGTCGCGTTCAACCCGACCGATGACGCAGCTCTCTGATATCTAGTATAATACGCGCCTATCCGGAACGCAAGTTCGTCTGGTTCTTGCTCAGGAGCAACGTCACTAGATTACCTCAGTTGTGGAACTCCCGCGGAAACTGGTTACCCCCCATCACTCACTTCAGTCCGCCTCCCGTTGTTCGAAGCGCCATCTAGATTTTCGTTTACGAACTGCGTGTTTCATAGAGTGCGGTGGAACGCCATCTAGATGATGCAACTCGAAACGTACGTATCCCATAGAATACACTGCAGTTACCATAGCAGACGTCCGGCGCGTCGAGCGACGGGAGGCGAGTCGTGATGTGTCAGGGGGGTACTTCTCGTGCATGCAGCTTCTATGAGCAGTTCCGTAACTGAGCTAATCTGATAACGTTGCTCAGGAATTGAGGTGACGTCAGAAAGACTCAGAGCTCTGATCGGCTTTGCTTGAAGGATACTGGGTAGACCTCAAGGCAGCTCGCTTTTGAGGTCTGCTCACTATTCTTCAAGTAGAGCCAGTCAGAACTTCGTTTCACATTAATCCCGGCCGCAGCTAACGCCACGATCCAGTGGAGCCCATCAATCAGCGTCAAAAGTGCGTCGTCATGGTGCTCATAGACCTCAAAGCAAGCTGCCTTGAGATCTACCCACTATCGCTCATTCAAAACCAATCGGTGCTCGGCGTTCTGACGTCGCCACAACCCCTGCGAGTGAAGTGCACTAACTTGCGCTTAGCATAGACGTGGCTGTACATAGACGTACATTAGAGAGTTTTAGTAATACGTATAGGAGCAAACGCAGACCCCATACGTTAACGTTAACGTTGCGTCCTCCACACTGCGCATGCGCCATACGTACGTACTGCGGCGAGCCTTGCGTACGTACGCTCGCTATCGATTTTTGCGAACGTACGTAGCGGTCCCCTACGTGCCATCTCGTTGCTCTCGTCGCGCACGGGAGAGCGCGAGACTAGTCCAGTTTGAAAAATGGCGGCGGTGAGGCAAACCAGCGGAAGTGCTACGCGCATTGTACGGGTTCGCTTTACCATTGAAGATGACATCAACCTCCTCAAAGAAGTCAACGCGACGAACCCTTTCGAGCACCCATAAAGATAGGTGTCGATAGCCAAGAACGTTGGCGACGCCGTCGAACCCAAAAAGGTGTTTACCGTGCGGTCGGTACAAAAAAAAAAAAAAAATTAAAAGACAAAACACGTACACAACAGGCAAACGAAAACACGCACTTCCGTAACAAAGCGAGGAGAATCGGAGCTTTAGATTGGCTTGACCGAATACCCGCCTTGGATTGTTTGAAGCAGTTTACAGGAGCAAATCTAGATGGCGCTACATGTCTTTACGTATGCGTTCTTCTTCCGCTGTACTAAAAGTGCGTATTCGACGCGCTCCGTAACGTTCCGTCGACGCAACGTTAACGCTAACGTAGGGGTTTGCGTTTGCCCCTATACGTATTACTAAAACTCTCTATTATCCGATTCCGTTCTCTTGACGCTTTGCAGGTAGCTGTGCAGACGGGCTGACTCTGCCGTTGACAAAGCGACTGCATCGTCCAACAAGCTTCTTCCAACTCTGTTGCTAGCGACGTGTACATAGCGATCTAGATGTGTTGATATGTTTAAGCGGGGCATAGAAATAGCGGGACATTCAGGATTTTTTAGTGCTTTCATTTTTTAGGTGTACTATATCATATTCGCGACGTCAGATTTTTTTTGTACGCTGAATACTTGTGATAATAGTCGTCACAAACTAGTACACAAAATTCAAGAGGAGACTTTTTTTTTCTCTTGCATTCATTGTGTGAATGAGAAAGAACATTGCGGAATTTGTGTACTTTTTTTTTAATTGCAACGTGACCTGACAACGCATGACATATGTGCAATAAAACGAATCTTATCAAGTGAACAATTGTACAATTTTTCAGTTATATTTGTCCAGTAACTCAGAACTGTAGCATTTACATCACCCAGTCGTGTTGAAGAAGAATAATTTGCGTGTAATACCATGTCCCAAAAGTAAGCCGAGACGTCTACTTGTTAAATTTGCAGTTCGGCCTGCTTAAAAGCTAACACCACAATTTCTTTCAAAAATTGTGTAATTATAATTCGGGTATCGTAAGTCGGCTGTCAGACTACCATGAGAATTCAAGAACTAAACGCTAATTTGCTTTGGCAATTTTTTTTTTTTGTTGGGGGGGGGGGGGCATTTTAATGATTACTGATGTAGGGAAGGCCTATCGTGCAATCGGTTTATTGCCAAATATTTCCCGTCGTTATTAAGTATTTGCTGAACGCGTTTAAAATATTTTCATTGTGAATTTTCTTCCATATACAAAAACGTTCCGCGAATATTTGGTAAACATTAACAGAATACACGGCCAGTGTCTGGTATATTTCATGTCGCTCGAAATCCTTGGTATTTGTAACTGGGCCCTTTGTGACGTAATGGCATCAGATGACTAAGGCCTTGTTACGTAGGCAGAAAGTCGTAGTTCTATGCCACCTATACACCAACTCATGTTTACAAACAAACCCGGCCCGGAGCGCCCCTAGCGGACGCCAACGGCGCCGCGCGTGCGCGCTGGGGTGTGGTCAAGAAGCTCGCCGTCGCCCATAAACAAACAATTGAAATGCGATGTTACCGGCGTCGGTGTGAGTCCCCGCGCTCTTTTTGGCGTTGAAATTGTTGATTCTACGTCCTCTTAACAATGTCTGACTACTTGAGCGGCGCCAGCGAAATTATCGAGGCTCGTTACATCGCAAAACTTCGCGTGAATCATCTGACATGCGACGATTCAGTCCGCGTGGACGCCGCAGATTGTACGCTGAAGCCTGATTCACATGATAAGATTTCGCTCGCCATTTTTAGTACCGACGTCGCTCGAACTGCAAAAGCGTGAACCATAGCTGAGATGTCGACGCCGATACTGAAAATCGCAAGCAGAATCTAACCAAGTGAATCGGGCATAACAAGTCGGTGATGGCCACTGGTAACAATGATCAACATTTCCTTGTATCTACTGTTTACGTCCAGCCTGCTTACCAACCTTCAAACTTAAGTCTTTTGAGGCCTGCACTTACTTCTTATCGCAAGTACCGGGCCAACATTTGGTCTATGTGGCGGTGCCGTCCAAAAAAAAAAAAAAAAAAAAACAGAAAACAAGCACAAACGTTTGAAAGAGCGGACGGCAGTTCGAACGATCAGGCGACCGTTTGAACTTGAAGACGCACTGAACGTAGTCCACAGGTGGTCCGTACAACTTGACGATTTCCCGGCGCTCATTTTGGAACAAAACAAATAAATCTGATGGCCAAAAGTATCTGTGAATTCAACCCAAAATGCTTCCCGCCCAAGCAATCGTGGTCCGACGGCGTCTGGTTTTCCCTTTTCACGGCACATATCCACGTTCTCGGACGAACCGAGCGCATGAAAACTGACCTTCAAACCTTTCTCGACACTTTTGGTACAGCCCCAGTCGCAGCATTTTGACGAAAAGGCAGGTTTTCGTCTGGTTCCTTTCGAAACAACGCAGGAATACACGTCTCGGATGGGCACTTCCGCCCACAGCCCCGGACCGGAAGTGCATCCGACGCGCCACCACCGCGGCGTGACGTAGCAAAGATGAGTTCGTGTATTGAGGGCCAGCCCGACTCACACATTGGGCACGAGCGCCGTCAGCATTCTGTTGGGACTACGCTCCGTTCCGTCTTATGATGGACCGCACAGGATGCTACGAGCCATCGAAGCCAGTCAAATGCTCTGCGGGAGACACGTGACTCTTGCGAAGGGCGCAGCTACGTGAGAGGTACGTAGTCACGAGATACGTTCACAGGGCTGGATTGGCTGGGACGGCTTGTACCATCCGCCGCGGTCCATCGTAAGCTGAAACAATGTGTAGTATCTGCGACTGGAGTTCCAGGCGAACGTTGACTTGCCACTATTGTCTAGTAATTATTCCGCACTCGACCTCAGTGGGCGAGCTATAAAATTGAGCACCGACCATTTTCGGGGAAAAACGGAGAAAATACGTGCATCTTTTTCTCGTTTCTTTGGGGGAACGAAGGAGTCCACATTAAAGAAACGTCACTGTATGGGCTTTCTCACCGAGGTAGGGTCAGGGAAACTGAGAGGGCAAACATAAAAATAAATAACTAAGTTCCGTCACCCTGAAGGAATTCCACTCGTAGATCCGGAGCGCTTTCCAAAATCCGCGAGGGAGGCAAAATTCCGCTTCGTGGGGCCCACTCCGAATCGACGAGGGGAAGATAAACTTTCATTAACACAGAGGTAACCAACCATCACTCGCACGGTCGTTGCCTAATCACTTCTTGCTTTATTTCTCGGGAAAATGCCGGCGGAATGCAGTGCAAAAAGGTAAACAATCATTGGCTGCAGAATGAACAGGCCTAACCTTGCGTCTGCCTCCGGCTTTTCTATCGTTCTTTTTCTTGTTCTTCCTCCCACGATCACAGATGTCAGCGCTTACGATTTACCACGCTTACGATTTACCATTTTGAGACGCTCTCTGTGTCTGTTCCTTCTACTGAAAGTTCTTCCGATTTCTTCCACCGCAGTCTCAGGTGTAATACGACATGAGAAGATAAACTTGCATTTTTGGAGAGACCTCCCCCACACCCCTCCCCATCGCTTCCCCCTCCGCCGTTCAAAATGGCCGCTACTCGAACTTGACAAGCGCACCAACGCCTCAGCCGACTGATCTTTCCGACGACCTGTGACGACTGCCACTGCTTGGCTGCAGAAATAACACGCGACACACGTCGGGCGGTATGATACGTGCCACGGCGCCCATGTCACAAATAACGAAGACGTCCGCGATGGCTGCAGAATGAACAGGCCTAACCTTGCGTCTGCCTCCGGCTTTTCTATCGTTCTTTTTCTTGTTCTTCCTCCCACGATCACAGATGTCAGCGCTTACGATTTACCACGCTTCACAGTCCCGGCTTTGTATCCCTGATGTATACGCGAGGTAGAAGCGTTCGAGCCGTCACAATCCCGCGTAAACAACCGACGTCGACACGCCCGAACAGCTCCAACTCGACGATCCGACTGTGGCC